CCCATCACCTGTACCAATGCATGCAGTTATTCATCTTCTGTGCTCTTGTTGTACCTCATCAGGTTCCTCTCTGTCAAACTCTCCAACTTGTCCAGCTCTTGCTGAACAGCAGCACAGCCTACTGGTGTGTCAGCCAGTCCTTCCAGCTTCATATCAGCAGCAAACTTGCTGAGGATGGACTCTATCCCTTCATCCAGGTCACTGATGAAGTTGTTGAACAAGACCAGACCCAGTACTGTTCCCTGGGGAATACTACTAGTTACAGGCCTCCAAGTAGACTCTGTGCCATGATACAAGTGTCTGAGCTGTCAGTCAGCCAGCTCTCAATTCATCTCACTGTCAGCTTGTATTTCTCATGTGCACGTTGTACTTCTTTGCAATGAATAAACCAGCACATACACTCCTTGTTAGATCCAGCACAGCTATAACTGAGATCTGTTTTTATTTTCAGAAACATCTGATTGCATTTCAGTTGTGTTATGTAAATAAATTACTTTATGCATTAACACTTCAGTCCTTTTATCACCTACTGTGCTGACCAATTGTTGCCAGTATGATTTTCATTCCATTTCCTTGCTACTGCCAAGGAAACTCAACCACAGAAGTGGTTGAGATCATCTGGCTTCACACTGTTCTGCCTTCAGTCTTTTTATAGCATGGCTCCCTTGTAACATTTCAAAGTTCAGAGCTACAATGGCACTATACTCTTGGTCATCTGTTGTGAGGCTTTCTCTTTTGCAGCTGGCGTTATTGCTGTAAATGTGCAGCTGTTCTCTATCACGCTGAGCTTAGAAAGAGTTCCACCATAGGTGAGCCATGAGAAGGCATCTAAATAGAAAAGCTCATTTCTTTCTGTACTACAGCTTGAAACTCTTTAATTATATACACAAGTGGTTACTTAAACTAATGGGAACGATATGGTGTGAAGGGAGTTTTACTTCTTTCTCTAAGAGTGTTGTACTTTAGATTCTGGGTCCATGAAAGGAAGAATTATTCTATTTACTGCAAAAAATGATTGTGTGGTCTGCTCATTACAGATCAAACTTTCAAGACTTCCTTATTGATTTCAGTTTGATTGTGGGTGGTTAGTTGTCACTTTTGTTTCTTTCTTTCTATTAGAAATGATTAAAAAAAAGTGCTAAGAATAACTGCACCAGTGATTTTTTGCCATTTGGGATAGTAACATTTCCAGATAGCTTCCTCCTTCAGTAAAAATTTTATGTTAATTTGGCCATTGCTGACTACATAATTTTGAAGTTACCTGGCAATCTCTTTAATGTAGTATACTGCCGAGTGAAATATACCAGACATTAAACAATGCCTTGTGACATTCTACTACAGTTTGGAGGCTTTTATTCCTTCTTTTTTCCCCCCTAGAATTGATCTAAAAAGAAACTTAACATAAAAGACTGACCTGCTGAAATTATACAAAACTTTCAGTCTGTCTTGAACTTTTGCAGTCCTGCCTGCTGTGGCCTAATATTTTTCTTATTTTTTTTTCCTTTTTTTCTCTTTCCATTTCTCTCAATAATTTGTGGTGGCAGTTTCTTTCCGTTTTCCCATCCCCAGACATACCAAATTCACAGGATATAAGAAAGTAGGTTTTATGGCTGTTACACACAGTGCATGCATGACAGCTGCTATCAAACTGGGAACTTGAACTGCAACCTGGAGTTGTTACTGTTTAAGAAAAAAAAAAAGCTTCTATGGCTGATGTACCATTGGGTGTAGCTTGGCACACGTAATGTCTGGCTGAATCAGCCTTGTTAGTGTCCTTAGCTCTGGTTTGTCCTTTTAACAGGCACAAAGCAGTAAGGATGCCATTCAAACAAAGCCAGTGAAACACGTGACATGCACAGCTATGGTATCCAAGCAAAAACTTGCCATCAGCTGTCTGTAACAGAGTAGGATGGATCTGGAGCCTGACTTCTGGTCTGGAATGTACATTTTGGTCTAAGCCCTGACATGCAGATTTGGAGCAGATAGTGTGGCTTTCTAAGGTATTGAAGGAAGGAAATCTTATTCAAATAATGTCAGATTAATATATTAACAAATCTCCCCTGAATTATTCAATATTCAGTTCAAGATAGCTTTTATTTTTATTTCATTTATTGATGGATGACATGGAACATCCTCAGTCGAAATGGTAAGGGCAGCACATACGAGAATCCTGCAGCTCCCCAGGCCTCCTCTCAGCCCATCTGTGCTGGTAGACAAGATTAGGGCTTCCAGCTATTTGCCACTACTTTCTGTTGGAGATTATAACATGTGCCGATTTCGGGTGACTGAGTGAATCTGCTCTAGAAAAAAAATCACCTTAGCTTAAGCTGTAATCAACTAGATACTGCTCTTTCACTGTTTGAATTGATGTTAGTAAAGCCAGATGATTTTCCTAAAGCAAACTAGGGGTAATCAAGTGAACTGACCTGCCTGTAGCACTCTGAAAACAGTAACTGTCTGTCTGGGGAGGATGACAAACATCTGGAGATGGTCCCCTCTCCTCCTACCACAGCTGGATGCAGAAGTGAAAGTCTCATCTCAGTCTGATAGGCTGTAAGGAGAGAAGTAGAAGATCACTGAAAATTCCCTTTAAGAGAACGGAGTCAAAGGTACAAGAGCAATATGATTTTATGTTGCCTTTTGTAACCACTAAAAATTTAGTTGAAGTGGTGGTGGGGCTTACAGCTGAGAAAATGAAGTAAATGTTAGCAAAATCACAGGGTGAATGAGATTGTTTCTGCTGCTCTGATGCAAGGGTTAGCCTGGATAATGAGTGCTCCCATTAACACCTATAATAATGCTAAGCCGTGGCACAACCGTGTGCCATAAGGCCACCAGTCCGTTCTTGTAGTGCAGCCACACCGTGTAACACCCACTGTGCTCTGCACAGAGTTACAGTGTTGTGTAGTATCCTGTGCTGATCCAAGACCAATTACGATGCTAAGTTACAAGGCACATCATTTTGAACTGTACATTTTCTGCTGTTCATTGCTTTCGAGCACACGTGCTTCTCCCTTCCCCACCCTCAGCCCTTTTCATTGCAGTGCTTTCAGGTTTTGAAACAATTCTGATCAGTTTGTTTGTGATAAAGACTTGTGTTACTCAGGGATCAAAGCAGCCCTTGACAGTCTGAGAAGAAATAACAACAGAAGGGCCAGACCAGAGGGGCTGTACCTCTGCTTATTGCTAAACTAAAGGAGCAGCTGCACAGCACAACTCTGCCAGCATGTAGCTTTAGGATGTGCTTTTAAATCATAAGAAAAAAAGAAACATAGAACTCCATTAATTTTCTGCCCTGCAACAGTCAGCTTTATTAACTCTGAAGAGAGCTGCTTTTACCAAAAGAAAGAGATTTGAAAACCCAGAATATTACCACGATATTCTGCTACTGAATCAATGCTTGTTAATGATAGAGAAACTATCTACAAAGTCTGTTTTGCTATAGAGATTATTAACATTGTCAATTTCTCTTACTCCAATATACTTTTAAAAATAATTTTTAAACAATCTACCTTATGAAATGTACCTCTCTGTGTATCAGGTACCATTATTATGGAATTGCAGTGAAAGAAAACTCACAGTATTACGACGTGATGTATTCTAAAAAAGGAGCAGCCTGGGTCAATGAAACTGGAAAAAAAGAAGTGACCAAACAGACAGTGGCATATTCACCACGATCCAAACTGGGAACGTTACTGCCAGAGTTTCCAAATGTCAAAGATCTAAATCTGCCAGCCAGTCTGCCAGAGGAGAAGGTAATGCTTTGGAAATATTTTCTTTGCTTGTGCTGTATCTTTTTCTCCCTGCTTTGGATGAAAACTTCGTCTAAAGTAAAAAGACTTTAAGTAAGATTAAGTTCAATAATGCTTTGACTTTATTTATGGGGAACTTAATTGCTTCTTATAATAGTCAGAAGTATCTTCCCTTAGTACAACAGCATATGCTGTCAGATGTATAGCATATCTAAAGCCTACGCACACTCTTCTTTCAAAGTTGTATTACATACAGCAGGAAAGGCTTGGATGGTAACTGATTAAATCACCAATAACAAGACCCCAGTTTTCTGTTTTAGCAATAGATGAACCAACTTGTTGGCAAACTGAAAAACAAATCCGATGGTTTCTTGTGGGGAGAGGAATTTAATGCATTTCTTATCCTTCTAGGCTGGAAATTAAAAGAATCCTGTTTGCACCTATGACAAAAGTGCTCTGACTGTTCTTGGCTGAGCTTGCTAGTTTTCTGATGTTATTCACATGTGTGCTATCAATGTAAAGTGGACAAAAGACTAGGGTTTTATAGTTCTTTATGTCCTAATTAGGGCCACATTCTCGTCTTTGATCTCACTGAGTTTTTTTGCTCCTCTTGCATTTGAAGAATCCCATTGACATAGAAAAATTCATGAATTCAAAGGGAGAATTTACCTTTAAAAAGAAAACTTGTGTTAAAGCTAATCTAACTAGACTCTGATTTCATTATTTTTGCAATTTTGCATAGGTAAGAAACAAGTTACTTTTTTGTGCTCTATATTCTGATAGTTTTAAAAGCAGATTTCTTAAAGTAGAATGAACTTTTGTGTGTCTCCCTCTCATTCTTTTTCAGGTTTCTACCTTTATTATGATGTATAGAACTCACTGTCAGAGGATACTAGACACTGTAATAAGAGCAAACTTTGATGAGGTATGGTTAGAAACTGCAGTTGTAGTTTAATGATACTACTAGGTATGAATGGATCTGAGAGCTTATTTTGAATTTGGTATTACAAACATATGGTTTTGTGATGGCTAATACTTTTCATGAATAATGAAGAATAGCTATACATATTACATATTATGTCGTTGATAGCATTAAATCTCTCTTATACCACTATGTGAGTTAGAGGAATGAAAGCAGTGGGAATGGTTTTGATTCTCCATCAGGATTAAGGTGGCAACATCCTCTTACAAGATGTTGACAATCCAGTTCTCACATCTCAACAAGTGTATCCATCACCACTTTCCTAACCTTTGAGTTAGGAACTGAGCTTTGAACTTTGAACTGAGCTCTGTTTGAAGGAATTCCTCTGAGTGTTCAGCACAAACCCAGGGCAGGTGCCACAGCCAAAACGATGTTCTCTGCTAGTCTGTTAACAATGAGCATGGAGCTGGGGGGCCTAGAGCTTCCCAGACATCCCAGTAAACCTCTATCTAACATCTCCAGTTCCTCAGTTGTTTGGTAGTACAGGCAGGAACACACACACTGCCAACAGTTGATACGATTCATTAGGATTTCAAACTGAACCTGAAGGCTTTCTGGCAATGCATGCATACAAGTCCTATAATTAGAGGTGAATGGCTACAAACATCAAACATTACTGAACTGCAAAGAGTTTCATATCACATGTGGAGAAATATTCTTTTCTAGGAAAGCAAATCTGACTATAGAAATGCTGAGGGCCTCATTCAAATATAAGTTGGAAAAAGTCAAAGGAAATGGGTCTTTTGACTCTGCATTCTGAACTAAAGTGGAGAATTCCTTTTTTTTTTCTCTATCTTGCTCTAGTTCTCAAATTCCTCTGATTTAAAGCTGAGGCTCTCTTAAGCCATTGCACCAGTCTAGGTTCTTCCTTGCAAGAAAATTGTTTCTTCAGCATTATTTTACTTCTTTTCACATTTTCCAATGTGTCTCTCAGATCTTCTCCTAACTATGTTAAAGTCGGAACCCAGAAGCATAAAAAAAGTATTTCAATCTGATGTACAGATTAGAGAAAACCAAACCCCTTGGCCCTTTCACTCCAAGCCCACTGGTTCAGTGAGAACACGTATTCAGAAGGTTTTGTTGGATCAGTCTCTGAATGCTTTCTTCAGAGAAGGATGTTGTCTTTTTCTAGGGAATCTGTCAGGAGCAGTGGTGGAGTAGGGGCTGAACAGTAACAAGATATAAATAACAAATGTTATTTGTTGCACCTGGTTGCAGTTACAGGTTGTATGTTAAAAGGTTATCATGTAGAAATGCTGGTGTTCTGACCCCATGCAGAATTGACCATATTGTTCACTTAGTAACACCTTTATTTCCTAAATGACAGTATTCAGATGCATCTTTTTTTGTGTCTGAAATTTCCTCCCTGTTTTCTTTTTTGCCCTTCTCCATTCTTTCTCCACTTTCCTTCATAGAAGAGGAGATAAAGAAGAAATAATTGCTGCTTTTCTTTAGTCACTGTAACAGTTGTTAAGATCTCCAAAGTGTTTCTTTTCAAAATTAATGCAGAAAATGGTATACTGGCCCCCATCACTGTGTGCTGTCTTCCTGTCTCTCCCCACACCAAGCCCTAGTTTCATTACTTTGTATACAGGAGCAGAAAGAAAAAGGTTTGATATGTGGAAGCCAAGGAGTTACACTCATGTGATGGAATGTGAAAATACTGTGGTACCCATGGGCCTCTCAGCTATAGGAACAAAAAGGTACCCTGTCTCCAACTCGAAATGCCTCCTTGCCCTTTGGTTCATTATCCCATTCAGCACCTGGTTAAGTATAAGCCTGTCTAGTTAAGGAATATACCTCATCTGTGTTGTATATCATAAATCCAGCTGTGAGACTGAAATAAATGCTATCCAAACAGGATCATTTAAAGAAAAAAGTATTTGTGGCCTTTTGTTATTCTCTCTTACGTGCCCCTTCTCCTTCTCACGATTGTAGGTTCAAAGTTTTCTTCTGCACTTTTGGCAAGGGATGCCTCCTCATATGCTGCCCGTACTGGGTTCTTCAACTGTAGTAAATATAGTCGGAGTTTGTGACTCAATTTTATACAAAGCAATTTCTGGAGTTTTGATGCCAACAGTACTGCAAGCACTACCTGACAGGTCAGTATAACTGACTACATTGGCCATTTCTACATGTCTCAGCTGTCTTTATTATATATCTTCTCTTTGCAGATGGCACCAGTTCTCAGAAAGCTGCATGTTTCCACCCAAGTTTAAATTACATGCCAATTCAAAGGAGCTGAATGCTGATATGTTTCTGAAAAAAACATATGGATATTAACAACACTTGTGTTGTGAAAAGTGTGACTTTTTTGTGTGATAAAGGATAAAACCTTCTTCTTGGTTTATTAACATCAAGCCAATAGTCATGTCCCACCTTTCAGGGAATATCAGAAATCTGCAGGCTGCAGAATGACACGTTCCTCCTTTTTCTGACAGTTTCAGACACTTTTCTACTAATCTGGTGTAGCAACGTAACAGTACTCTGAATAACAGTGACAAAAGCTGGCCTGGCTGCTCTGTTTGTAAATACTCCCTTGCATATTCAGGCACTGCAGCCTAAGCATTTGTCTGTGTTTATACTCTTGGAACCCAACTGATATTCTGCTTGCCAAGAGCAGAAAATATGAAGATAGTACTTGAGAAGTCTCAGACAACCTGGATTAATTTAAATGCTTTACTGTGATGAACAGATGCACGCTTATTTTAGGATCACTTCATTAATATTACCAAGTATTTGACTCCTTTGTTTCAGAGCTCAGTTTTCTTTGTCAATCCACAAGGTAGAGCTCATCTTTTCTCTTCCTAGCTGGAGTACATCTGAGTCCAAGAAATCTTAATCATATAGAGAAAACAGAACAGAGATCAACATTTCAGAGCAAAAAGTGTAATCACTGAGTGTAGTCAACCTATTCCTCCCTTTGATTTTCCTAATATAAACAGCAGGAAACATTCTTTTTCTAAATATTTATTCACCTTTAGTATTATTTGATGCTTTCCTGAGGTTAAATAATTTGTTGCATTTATTCCTTTAAGAGTTTATTATTGGCATTGTATATTTGGCCTTCAGGATTTTAATGCAGCTCTAATTACAGCAAATGTTTTTGAGATGTCATTCTATTCTCCTAAATTGGTGAATGCTGTTTGCAGTGTATGACTGCTAAAGTACAGACAAAGTATTTTTTCCATGAGAAACCTGTTATAAGCACGGGATTTCCTTGATAAGATATGTACGTTTTTGCAGGCTTTGCCTTCTCCTCCTCCT